CATATATAAGAGGAAAACTTAGGTCCTGTGAGTGTAACTTGGGTCTTGTAAATGTAAATTTCCAGGTGAACTCTGGAATCTGTGAATGCTTTCTTCCCTCCCCACCATCCCCTCCAGTCTCTTCCACATCATTTTAGCCATTAACTTCCACTCTTGTCTCTGCCTTCTTCCAGATCCCTGCACTAGTGCTTCTCTCTCCACATTTCCAATATTTATGCAACTGTAAATGACTTCCTCAATAGCAGTTGCTTTACAATAAAGTGATTTTCAGCCACTACTGTGTTCTTATTTAATATTACCTAATCATCAATCAGATCCTTTATCCTTAGACTGATTTATAGCAAGAGCCCTTAATCATTAGTAATTACTGGGTTCTGATTCCATTACCACTCCCCTGTGACAGGGAGTGGACCTTTAATTATAGATAGACAGAAGGTCATGAGCCTGGGATTTTCCAGAATTTACGTAAGTAGAAAGACTGAGATTTCCAAATGAGTTTAGAAGCCAAGAATCCATCCATGATTTAAACATCAACAGCATCAGATAAAGGGGTTTTTAATATTTCTAAAAAAAATTGCTTCAGTTAGTAAGACTATTTGCATTTTAGAGATTTAACTTCACCTGGAACTGTTCTAAACCACTGTTAATTTTTACCTCTGTTTCAATATTACACAATATAATTGCTTCAGTTTTGGTTTGTGTTTTTGGTTTTGTTTTTTTTTTTGTTTTTTTTTTTTTGTATTTTAAAAGAGAAATGTACACCATTGAGCAACAGTTCTGATCTCTGATCATTAAGTAGCTCTGAAGTAAACTGTACTTTTAATTTGATTTATGATACAGGCAGCTTACTGGTATGATCCAGTTTGGCAAGTTTTGTGCTTATGTCTGTATTTTCATTCAGAAAAAGTAATTATAATTTCAACATACTAGAAAGTGATAGAGAAATATTTGTGGTACACTTACAATAAATTGTCATGAGTCATACAAAGTTCCCTCTGCAGTTTAAAAGCCTTTTCCTTGATAAAAAGCATGAGCTCCAGAGTAAGCAATGATCCACTGCAGAACTTTTAAAAGGACCATTTAACATTAAGAACAAGCTACTTGTAAGATGGCATAGCTGCCATTAAAGAACTCTATAAACATACTCTAATAATCTTTTCTCTCTTTTTTTTTTTTTTGCTGCATATGAATATTTTAATAGTATGACATAATTTGTCCTTATGCTTCCTATTTTTAAGGAGAGATTGAGGCAGCTTTATTAAGTATTTAGTACTTTGTACTCAGCAACAATTTAATTCTCTAATGCAGAGACAATGCTGGCAGCTGCAGTGGGTATTTTGTTGGTGTAGCATGTGCCATATTTTGGTTGAACACATTTAGGTGGGATCCTCAAATGAAGTTTGCAGGCCAAGATAACCAGAACTCCTTCTAACACATACATAGCTCAGCTGGCAGGAGCCAATTAATTTGGAAATCCAGTCTAAATGTGGTGTGGATCCATCTCTGGGATCAGGATGTTCAGGACAGTTGCTGAGATACCAAACACTGTTTAATATTAACTCGTGTGTCACAACAAACCCTGTGAAGTTGGCGTAAGGAAACTCAGCATTCACTGCCACCCAAATGCAGCTTGCCCCTGAAATAACTTATGTTTTGCACAACAAAACAGCTGCCCCAGGAAAACTAAGGTTTTTTCTAAGGAAATTTTCCCAGTTCTAGTTACCCATGCAGCAGGATAATGACGGAACAAATCAGCTGGCCCTGCTTCCTCACTGGATGTGGAGCACTGGAATACTTGAAAGCATCACCCTTAGGAGCCAATCTTCACATGCTGAGTTTGTTATATACTATCCTGAAGCAAGAAGAGGGAGGGAAAAAAAAAATCTGTGACCAGTTAACTCTTTGAAGTAGTGAGGTATTTGTGAATCACAACTTTCCAGACATGAAAGATTTGCTCGGAAGGGCTGAAAAATAATGTCTTGCAACTCGAAGTGTTCCAGAAGCTGGCATGAGGCAGTGAGACCTGCCTGCTTTTTTATTTTTTTCTCTCTATTTTTGAGATGTTTTAAAAAATACCATAAGCCGTGTTCATATTACTTGTGGCAACCTGCTGAGGCAGTTAAAGAGGTAAGAGAACGTGGTAAAATGTAGTGAAAAAAAAGTACTGAATATGTTTTGCTTAAACGACTGTATTTTTACAATTCAAATTGAGAATTTGTTCTGTATTCTTGTTGGGATATCTTTGTGCTCTGTATCAGTGTGTCTACAGTGATCTCCTCAGGAGGGTCAGGGCACATCAGTGCTCCTCATGTCCAGGCTGCAGCTTTGGATGGAGGCAAGTTCTCAGTTATTTCCTCAACCTTTTGTTTTTCTTTCTGTTTTTTTTTTTTTTGGACAGAAGTTATGCAATTATCAAATCAGTTCAGGTAGGCTCCAAGCTCTCTGGCCACCCTGGTAGTGGGTCTGCCTTAGGAAGCAGACCCAGAAACTGGATCTATTCCCTCAGGAAATTTCTCCTGGAGTAGTGGTTGCAGTCATTGATTTTGCTTGGCCTCATGTTCTTTTTGATCATGTTCCAGCAAATCAGTTTTTCAAAGTACTTTGTGATGAGTAGAACAAAGATATATTCAAATCTGAAGGTAACATGAAGAAACACAGCTTAGTCTGCTGCAAGGATCCACCATGGATTTAACACAGATGAAAAGTGTCCCATGTTCCAATACGTATCAAATTACAACTATTTTAAATTTGGATTTTCAAGATAACAAATCATCCTTGTAATGTACTCTTGAGATTCTACTGTGGTTGAAATACTCCTTCACTGATTTTTGCACTGCTTCTGTGCAAATGTGGGTTTAAGGCACTGTGAGGAGGCCCCAGTGTAGCTGTCAGAGCTATCACCCAATGAGCCCTAACACTGAATCATTCCTGCTGAAGATTAGCTGAGAAATCAAAGAAAACAGCCAATTTCCTACTGTACATGTAAGGGTTTCTTGTTTGATCTGCATGTGCATCTGCATCAAACTCAGAAGTGTTGAAGAGTTTGTTTGCTCGAGATAAAAGCGCTTTAGATGCTACACACAGAGCAAAGCCCATGACAGATTTTGGGGAAAGAGAAATGTATGAATCAAAGAGGTCAGAGGGTTTATTTGGGATCATACAGACACACAATCACTTCATTCACTCAGGAAGAGATTGAACAGCTGGAAGATTTCTCCAATTCTTTTGGATTAATTGATGATTTTCTCGAAATGGCTACAAAACAAGTACAACTCATGGTTTTTGTGCAGAAGTGTCAGGCGTGTGCTCTGAACTTCTTCTATTCCACAACACCCCCTCATGCTCTCTGTCCTTGGGACAGGACATGAACAACCCAGAAACCATCAGCAATATGGAGCATATTTAATGATTTAAAGCACAAACCCACTCTATTACCTATAAGAACATACTTGAACAGATCTTAGTCAGAAACAAATAAAAATAAAATTGAATAAAATTGGCTCTGCAACTATTGAAGCATCTCCTAAAATTTCATTCTCATTTTACCCACTCATATATCTGGCACCCACCCCCCACTGCTCAGGCTCAAAAGCTACTTCTGATTTATTGACCTTTAACTTCAGAGTGCCAAATATTTCTCACTAAGCTATGAATAGAAACATTTTTCCCCTAAATATTGATCATAATGAAGTTACAAAAACAGATACAGCCAATATCCAGCTAGCAGTAATAAAACCACATCACAAAGAACCTGGGCTTGTCCCCCACTGCTGCTGTACCCCCACTTTTCCAGTCCCAGCTCTCCTGTACTCACAAGGCACCAGGTCCATCCCCTGCATATCAAGGACCTGGACCAATCCCATTAAATTCATAGCACAGAATCGTAGAATTGAGTTGGAAGAGACCTTAAAGCGCATCCCATTCTACCCTGTGCCATGGGCAGGGACACTTCCACTGTCCCAAGCTGCTCCCAGCCCTGTCCAGCGTGGCCTTGGGCACTGCCAGGGATCCAGGGGCAGCCACAGCTGCTCTGGGCACCTGTGCCAGCGTGTGCCCACCCTCCCAGCCAGGAATTCCTTCCCAATCTCCCATCCATCCCTGCCCCCTGGCAGTGGGAGCCATTCCCTGTGTCCTGTCCCTCCATCCCTTGTCCCCAGTCCCTCTCCAGCTCTCCTGGAGCCCCTTTAGCCCCTGGAAGGGCTCTGAGCTTTCCCTGGATCCTTCTCCTCCCCAGGTGAGCATCCCCAGCTCTGCCAGCCTGGCTCCAGAGGGGCTCCAGCCCTGGGACCATCCCGGAGCCTCCTCGGGGCCTGCAGCAGCTCCAGTGCTCGCTGTGCTGGGCAGGGCTGGGGCAGCGCTGCAGGTGGGGCTCACCTGGGGCAGGGGGCAGAGCCCCCCGCTGCCCTGCCGGGCTCAGAGCCCAGGGCACGGCCGGGGCTCGCCGAGCTCCGCAGCCACCGACACCCACCCGAGTCCTTCCCCAGGAGGGCTCTCCATCCCTTCTCCACCCAGCCGCCTTTGTGCCACAGCCAGGCGCAGGGCTCTGCACTCGCATCTCCCGTTTCTCCTCTGGAGCTCCCCGAGGCCCCGCTGGGCACTCCTGAGGCGTTTGCCGTGTGTCTGAGCGGATCCAGAACCATCTACACAGAGAATCTGGGGCAGAGTGCTGGGAACAGCCACTACCGCACTGCTGGGCGGCGGTGACATCCATCACTTCGGGCAGGAATCTCAGAATATCCTGAGCTGGAAAGATCGTCGAGTTCAGCCCCTGTCCCTGCCCAGATCCCCCAACAATCCCACCCTGGGCATCCCTGGCAGCGCTGTCCAAACGCTCCTGGAGCTCCATTCCCTGGGGAGCCTGGGCAGTGCCAGCACCCTCTGAGGGAAGAACCTTTTAAAATCCAACCTAACCCTGGCACAGCTCCAGCCGTGCCCTGGCGAGGGAAGAGCCCAGTGCCTCTCAGAGCTGTGAGGCGTTTCCGCGGTGCCCCTCCAGCACCTTCCTCGCACCCTCACTCCCAAGAGCTTCCCCGTTCCTGGGGGGAACAACTGCCCAGCCCCTGCGGGCTGTGCTCGCAGCCTCCATCCCCGCCCGAGGCCGCCCGGGCCAGCCCCGGTCACCGCGGAAACGGAAACGCGCGGGGCCGGGCCGGGGCCGCCGGGAGCGGGGCCGGTTTGAACGTTCGGGCTCCCCCCGCCGCGGCCGCGACCCGCAGCCCCCGAGGTAACGGGGCAGGGCCCGGCCGGGCAGGGCGGGCTGCCGGGGACACGGGTGTGCGCCCCGGGCCGGGGCACGGCCGGGAAGGGCGCTGGGGCGGGCCCGGGGTGCGGCTCCGCCGGCAGCGAGCGGCGCGGTCAGTGCTGGGTGTGCCGGGCAGGGCCGCTCCGCCGGGCAGCGAGGAGCGCTGCTCTGTGCCCTGCTGCTACTGAATAACAGTCCTGGCAGCGGTGCGGTTCTCTAACTTGTAACTATCACTCTACTTGCTGCTTTCCCTGCTTTCTCCGCCTTCTTCTTTAAAAAAAAACCACTCTCAAATTCTGAGGAATACCAAGTTAGGAATGCGGTATCACACAAACGCCTTGAGGTGTTTTGTACAAATTGGGTGTAATGAATATATTTATTGTGTGGTTGGCTATTCCGTTTCAAATCTAAACAAGCACATTCTTGTAGATCACACTGAGAACCTGTTATTTACAAAGAATCTGTCTTAGGTTTGTGCTTATTTCAACATAACGCATCTAGTTTCACTTCCCACATGTTCCAACCACATCTTTGTGTGGCCTAAGATGAAGAGAGACTGACGCAAAACAGTCTCAAAACAGTATTTGACCTTTCCTACATCAATGGCATTAATTTCGCAGGTTACCTTGTGTGCTTTCAAAATGAGCAGTGAAGATGAAATAAAGGAAAAACTGGATGCGGAATTAGATCGCTGTGTCGTGGCTATGAAGCCCTATGTCCTTAACCTGCAGCATAGTTCAGGTACAGGTGGTAAAATGTTCATTTAAACACTAATAACAAAGTCCTGGGGTAGTTATGTGTGTAGTTGTATCACTTTATTTAACCAGGCACTTAATCTCTGACATTACAAGGTAGAGTTTTGATGGGGGTTTGCACAACTAATAAAGTTGGATGTTTTAGGTGTCTACTGCAATTGTTTGACCTTATCTGTCTTGTTTTTATGATGTAAGTGTGCTTTTGCACATTTACAATACATTAACATCTATCTTTAAAAACCTAGTTCAGTAGAAACAAAAATATTTTAAAGGGTATTGTTTTCGAGATAGCAAATATTTTTAAATTATAAAGTTGTTAACATTTGTTCAGGAATGTGTAGTAATAGGAACATTGACTAATAAATAGTGTTGCATAAATCTAATTTTTACAACAAGCTGGTAATTACTAAAGGCACAAACCCTACAAATTAAGAGCTTTATGTGTAAACATTTAACTAAATGAATAATTTCCTTCTCAGATAGCAAAGCTTGTGTAAATAGAGATTTATTTTTTAAATAGATGAAGATTTATTGTGTATTTAAAGTATTAATGCTTGTGCAAGCTGTAAGTTGTAGTTTATGGCAGCTCTTGCAATGAGTGCAGAATTCCTGGTGTTTCCAATTCCATGCTGTTTCCAAAAGTTATGTAAACTTTTGGTAAGCATGAATTTATAGAAAATCTTTGAGCAATATGTAGATTTGAATCATTGTTAAAGACTTTTTTTTTTCCCTAAGTATTTAACCATTTCTTTTATTTGGATTGGTCATTCAGGAATTTGTTTTGTTTTAAACTTTGCTTTGGGAGAAACGTATAAAATTGGTGACCAGTGATGGCTTCTGTTTTCTGCACATGTTTGATTTGCTCTGAAAATGTATAGTGACCACATATATCTGTATTTTCAGAAAGAAAAAGATGCTCACTATGGATTAAAAAACTCTGCAAGCCTTTGGCAGCGGGCATAGGAATAGTGGGAAGGGAGAATCGAAACTTGTATGCAAAGCTGCTGCTCCACATGCTGCAGAGAGGAGTTCTGAATGGGCCCTTCAGCCAGAAACCAGAGGAGGGAATGCTGAAAACTTTGCCTGCCTACATGGTGAGTGTCATTTCTTTATGAGACAGACCTGCTGAAATGTATCCTGGAATTGCTTTTCCATCACAAATGATTCTGAATGGGTTGAGTGGAACTTGTGTGATAAATAAAGGCATTTCTTGTAATTAATGTTGGGAAAACCTTTCAATGGGCAAAACTTCTTGAGACTTGTATCTTCAAAATTCTCATTAGAAGGCTTATGAAAATAGTTATTTGAAGGAACAGAAAGGTAGTATTTTTCCATTCTTTGGGAAAAAAATGTAATAAAAAAGCCCTTGAGGATTTATTTTGTCCTAATCAGTAGATAGCTCCTGTGAAAGGAAAATTATTCTTAAAGTTGGTGACTTTAGTAGCCTGAGAATACTACAGAACTCACACAGACATTGTTAAAGTTGCAGTTTGGTTTCTGAAGAACTGAATATGCTGTGTCAAGCCTTGACATCAGCTTTAGTGACATAAAAATGCCAATTTTTGGTAAAATGACCCATCCTGTAAGAAGTATTGGAAAATATTTACACTGTTGCCATGAATTCCCATGGGTTGGGAAGATGGCATTTGCACACCTCACTGGAAAAGGAATGACTGTACTGCAGACAGTCCTGCAAGAAATGACATTAAGGATGTGAAGAAAGTGTAAATATATTCTCATGCTGATTTTGCATTTGTTGTCATTGTAGTCAGTTTATTTTGATGAACCAAGTTCACCAAAGGTTCGGAACGGCCGCTCTGACTGCTTACGTGAGTGGATGGTGGGAGAGCTGGGAAACCAGGACAGTAATGTTTCCTCTGTGGAAGACTCATCTTCAGCAACAATTCCTGCACATGGGTAAGGTCTCTGTCCTTGCTTTAGCAGCGTTTGATTTGTATTAATAGACATAAGCTCTGGTTGTATCAGTTTGTATGAATTTATTGCACTCCCTCATGGACTCACCATCAGTCTTTACAGACAGAAACTCTGGTAAGAGCTTCAATGTAATGAGAACTTCTAGACTGCTCTGTTCTTACTTTTCTCCATTATGTCTTCTTTTCTGACTTCTTTACATCTCTTTCCCTGTCCCATCCCCCTGTCCTCTTTCTCTTCCTGTTGTTCTCCTTCTTTCAGTTCCGGACACTTAACATGGAAAATCAAAGCCTACATCTGTAGTCTAAGGCCATGATGCTGAAAGCAGCTGTTTTATCAAATAATTTTTAATGGCTTTTTTCCTTATAGATTTGAAATACAGACAAGCATACAGATGGTAAATTTAGAGGTTGTTCTATGACTGTTGCTCACAGGTTTTTTTTAGAGGAAATGGAATAGTGGCTCCTTGCAGATAAGCAAGTTTTGCTGAGTGAGATTTAGCTCTTTGATTTGCAGCAGCCAGTGATCTTAAACTGCATCCTCAGTCCCAGTCATCTGAGAATAGCGCTGTTTATAGGAGGAAAAAAGGGTGAAATGTGTTGTTATTAAGGCTCATTTTTATGTTGGCTTAGAAAGATGTCCCTGCAGTATTGAAGGAGTGACAAGCTGGTCATTTGGACACTTGGAAAACTTCAGCCCTATTCTGTCCTAATCTGTGGGAATCTTAGGTTAACTCTAGTTTAATCTGCTGTTCTTAAGTATTTATTTTCTTGATTTTCTTACATAGTGCAACTTCGTGCTGATTATCAAGATCTGTGTTTCTTTTTGTTCTTTATGTGGCTGCATTTCAGTCATGGATGGAATTTCCTCTTGTTTGCCCATTTAAAGTCTCATTAATATTTAACCTCTCTGAAATCCTTGTTGAAGGAAGCACTCTTAGACATGGAGTGAACATTAGTTAAAGCTCAGTAGGTACTGTGCAAGAGGAAGTGAGTGTTTGCTCTGCTTCTGGTTTCGTTTCATTGTGTTAGAAATACATTTTCAAGTTTAGTTTCAGAAGTCTGGTGCTTTTTTCATGTCTTCACTTATATCTTCCGTAAGTTGCCACCATTAGCTGTTCTTTTGTAGGCACACTGATATTTATGCTGTTTATCATAATTTTTCAATCATGTTTTTAGTTTTTCAGCAGTGGTTTGGATAAGTGCCAGATGGAGACTTGCAAGTTAAATCACATCAATATTGAGTATCGTGGAACTCTTCTGTATCCATTAACTGTGTGTAATTCTAACAATCATTTCAAAAGTTACTCTTATGTCTGAGGTCTCTGTACCTCCTTTTCTTGAGGATTAGGGGCTCTTCTGGCTGCTTGCATTCATGCTCTGATAAGAACCTGTGGTTTTGATAACAGACTTGTGGTTTAAGAACCAGAGGCAGACAATGGAGAATTTCCAGTTGAGTTATGATATTACTGATTTGGGCTTGATAATACAGAGAATTCACTGGAAAAGGAATTATTCTGATTTGGTTTCATTGGTTAGAAATACATTTTCAAGTTTAGTTTCAGATAGATACAGAAAATTGTTAAGAGGAGCTGTTCAGATACCCTTAATTAAAAAAAATAGATTTGACATTATGAAAACAAGGAATATATAATGTTTTAGAAATGTTTTTTGAGACCTTGGAAAAATTTTTGTTACTGTTGTGCCATGTCAAGATACCTGGCCTGGGTCCTACCAGGTGATGTCAGTCCCTGGGAGCAGCATCATCAAGTCCAAGTGTCACTCTGGGTGTTAAAAGCAATAAAAAATGTATCAGCACAGCTCTCCCCTCTTAGGCCAAATTTAGCACACTGCTGTCTCTGCAAGGCCCTATTTGTGGTATAGAAATACACCTCATTACTCTGAATTCCTGATTTATGCTGTCAGCTGGGGTGGCATTTGTGTATTCCTCTCTCTTCATCCCACTGGGGCTGGTCCCTGCTTGAGGTGCAGTTCCACCTATTCCCTCCCTTCTTTGCCATAGTTTTAATCTCTTTTCTACCTGGTTTATAGTAGAATACTGGGAATTTGATGGCATTTCCCACTCTGTGTCTGAACCTAAGATTCAGCTTGGCCTATCAAAGTTGCCAAACTAATTTTTGGTGTAGTGAAGCTTTATTTCACTTTTCCCCCTTTATCCTGTGGGAATGAAGCAATACCTACTTTGGTGATTAGTGTGGTTCCCAAGACTCTACTGAGTTCTCTGGAGACCTGCACTGCAAATTATTCCCTGGACTGCAAATTATTCCATACCAGAAGGAACAAGTAAATGTAATTGAATAATGTTACTGGTTTAAAGCAATTAAAAATCAGCTGTACAGGCACAGCTCTGTCAGTGGATGCTTGGACCAAGATTAGGATTGTGTCTAAGGAAATCTGAATTTGTGTTGGAAAATGTTGATAGTTCTGTAGATTACATAAATTAATCTTCACTGCAATAAGAAACTTTATTTTCCTGCAAGTTTTGCAGAAAAATACTGAAGAGAAATATTTCAGCTGTTGTGTTTTGAAAAATAAAAAATATTTACATATTTAATATTTACCTAAATATGACCACGTTAAGATATTACCTATATCCAAGATATAGATCCTGGTTTTGTTTGTATTTACAATTTTGGATGAGCAATCAGTGCAGGTAAAAATGCAATATATTAAATATTTCTGGATGTGCAGTTTGTAGGGAGAGCCAGCAGATGGTGACCGAGTTCCATTGTATTTGTCTCGCTCCTCTGAATGTGCATTGGGAAAACTGCAGCCATGGGCATGGAATTTGTGTAGTTGGATGAAAATTTTGCATTCCAGGCATGACTCAGTTCCTACAACATTTTCTCAGGGCAAAATAGATAATGTCAGTGAGACATGTTTCAGTAACTGCTTGATGTTCTTTATCTCAAGATTCTCTCCTTTCAAAGACCCAAATAAACAGAAATTCTTTTCATAGTGATTTTTATCTTGCAATACAGATAATTCTGTGTTGGACAATTTTGACTTTTCCATATGAAGTTGTTTTTCTGCCTGAATAAAAACCTTAGATATACAAACCTTACTTGCAAACTGGGGTGTTGATGAATAAATCCAACCAGCTGGGACTGGAAAGGTGCAGCTTTATTTTGAAATGCGAGAGGGTTGGTTTGAGAGTTGAGATTGGTTTGAACAGAAACCTGGGCTTTCTGACCCTATAGGAAAATTCTACTCTGTGTTTACAGTGTGTGCCTGAAAACATTGCTAAAGGTTAGTGTGTAGTCCTGCTGGACCAGGAAGAATCAGTGAATTTCTCTCACTTTGTTCCTAGAAGGAATATTTACCAATCTCCTTTCTTAGCAGCAAATTGCTGCCCCCTCCCGTGCCAGCTCCCTGCTTGGGCTGAAGCAGGAGGTCACAGGTTGATGTCAAAGCTCTGCTCATCCTTCACTCACCTGCAGTGGGAGGAAAAAGAATTAATCTTGTGCTTTTTGGAGCCTGACTTGCATTAGCAGGAGGCTGGAAAAAGTAGTGGACAAGTGGTGCATACTGGATGTGAGAAATATTGTATTCATCCTTAAAAATCTTTTCAAATTCTGTTTGTACAATCAAGTAAAGGAGCTTCCTTTTCAGTTCCTCTTCAAAGAGCAAATACAGACTAAGAATGCCTCTAGACTTTTGCCCTCCCTTTGGTGAATTTGAAAATATTACAGGTAGCTTGGGCTGGCTTGTGTATTTGTTGATATTCCTGAATCTCTGAATGATGAGGGCATGAATTCTGTTTTCTCTCATTTTAAACAATTGGAATTTTATTGCATTGTTAGGTAACCTGGGTATTACTCAGAAAGGAAATCTGATGAAAGAGCAGATTTACTCACAGGCAAAGATTTATCTCCCTTTAATTAAAGGTAATTTTGTTTCAAATGAAATCTTGGTAAGAAATGCAAGAGGCAGTCATTGTGTTATCATAACCCTTTTGATCTTTTTTACCCCTAAGACTTTGCTTATCTAAACTATTTACTGCTTTGTAATTGTTATTGTGCATCCATACATGTTGTTTATATGGGATTTATTGGTGCTGGAAGCGAAGGTAGGCTCCCAGTTGTTCTATTTCTCTGTTCCCTGCTGTTCTGATGAAAGCTGGGGCACTGTGCTTCGTGAAAACTTTGTGTTTGTCTCTCTAGAAGTGACTGGTTTATATTGTACATCCAACAGTTGTTGTTCTGTTCATAAACACTTCATTCATCTCAGTGTCTTTTTGGCATAGCAGCCATCTCATTTGCTGCCAGATGGAAAGGAAGGGAGGTATTGAATGCTCTGATTTGACTTTAATATAATATGGCCAGTCATAGGAAGGTGAAGGGGACTAACAGGAGTTTTTAATTACCTTAATACCTGTGGATCTGACAGTCGAGTATTTGCTGAAGAGTGTTTCACTACTGTTTTGGAACGTTTGCTGTATCAGCCCATCTAATAAATGCTTAGAACTTCTACTTTATTTAGTTCTTTTTTGCCCTGTTGTGTGGCTGAGAAATGTCTGTGACCAGGTGCATCAGTGACAATTCTCTTCACCTGTCTGCTCAATTCTCTTCACCTTTGCTCAAGTGCTTTATTTACAACAAAAGCTTTTCCAGAAAATCCCTCTGCTGGACAGAGCACTTGGACATGCTGTGCTTGTGTCCTGTCTTGTGGGCATTGCTTTACCATCCCCCATAAATTCCACTTTAGTCCATAAAACAGAAATGAAATGAAACCAAGACAATCTTTGTGACTTGTTCCTCTCCACCTTGGCCTTTCAAGCCACTGCCTTTGTACAGAGCTGTGTGTGTCGTTCTTGCCCTTTGTGTGTTATAGGATCATTTACCTTGTTCTAACCTATTTTTTTGGTCTTAAAAGTCTCCCCTATGGTGCAACCGACCATCACCTTAATTCCTTTTTCTTCTCTGAGTCACTGGTCTCCATTTTATGTTGTTTCATATTCTTAGCAATTGTTTTTCCTTAGCTTGGCTTTATCCTAAAATCCTTTGGAATATGTTGGGTCATGTAGTAAAAGGAAAACAAAGAACACTTTTAAATGACCTGTCATGTACACAATATTTCTAGTGGGTTTTTTGGTGTGGGGTTTTATGGCAGTGTTTTTTTAAGGGAACAATTAAGGCTATTGTTTGCCTTTAACATGAAATTTTTCTCTTTTTTCTCTGTTGTTTTTTTGTTTTCTGATCTTTCCATCTTGACAGTTATTTTCTTGTGTATATTTTAGGCGAGTCTATTCTGTGATTAACATCCTTTTTGTGCCACAAGTTGCTGAAAATGAATTCTTTTCTTTCTGCTTCCTCCTGTCATTAATAACAGGGAAAGACTCAGTGAGAAGCCATCAGTAATATCCCGTTGTCTGAGCTCTTCTCACCGGACAGATGAGGATGACCTAGGCACGGCACTGTCTGTAAGATGCTTCTCCTTTTTGTCCTAAAGCTCTGCTTTCCCTGAGTTGCTTTTATATATCCCTGCAAAGCTGTTATTTCCAGCTGTGTGGGTCATGATCCCTGGTAAAGGTGCAGACATTTGGGAGGTAGTGATAGGGAGTGTCGAGCTTTTTCCTTCTTTTTGCCAGGGTCAGGATTAAATGTGCTAGAGGGTATTTCTTGTTTGGACTCAGATGTTTATTAGTTCTGATCTATGTCACAGTCTCACAAACCCTGAGTTCTGCAGCACTGCACTCTAACAAACTAAAAATGGAGCCCTGTCTCTCTCTATACAAGGCCTTTTAAGGATAAAATGTCCAATTCAGAAATGACACCTAAATTATTTTCACTTTTAACCCAATAACCAACCACCCATGCCCGCAATGGAGACTTTTTTATCCAGTTACAGAAAACCACCCAACCCCATGGAGAAGAAGGTGAAGAAGTAGGACCAGCTACTGCCCTAAAACCTCCATCGTGCTCCACCTATATTACTATATTCTAAACCCTTAAATTCTGAGTTTTCCACCCGGTGATATTACACACTTCTATCCAAACTCCACCCCCACAATCCCAGTTCCACCATTCCATTTTGGAAGCTTCTCCACAGCCTCGGGTCAATGCAGTGTTCTCCTGGGGGTCAGTGCCTGCCAGCACAGAAAGTCTCAAATTCTCAGTAACCAGGGTTCTAGCAAGGGAGGACTAAAGCTCATCAAAATCTGTCCTCTGCAGGGGAAAAGAATTTCTTGTAGGATGCTCTCAGTTCATCCTGATGCTTGACCTCTGTTTAGTGTTGTGCGTTCAGTGTCTGCTGCATTGTTTTCCTCGGGCTTGGCAACGCGCCTGCATTGACATCATCTTGTGTTTTGCAATAACAGATTAAAGAAAACTGCATAGATGCCTCTGGCTCTGTTCAGTGGTGGTTGACCTCTGAAAGAGTGAATTTTGGACAGTTTGTTTCATCAGACTTTCCACAATGTGCATTTTGACTGATGAAAGGGCATTGAACAGGCTTTGTCTGAAACCCTTTTAGTCCAACATATTCAATGATTTTGTTTATTATAATTGCAAGCTTTACACTGACAATTACTCCTGTCAAATGTGTGATACCAAGAAATGTGCTGTTTACCTTCCAAAATGTGCTCTGTGGCCTTGCAGTGTCCTTCACCACACCTAGAGCAACCCTCACCCCTCCGTGAACACTGAATTTCCTGTTTGTTCCTCCAGCTCTGCCCACGCTTCATTTTTGATTCTAGCAGAGGAATAGTTGAGAAAGATTGCAGCTGGGCACAGTTGAGGATTTATGAGGACATGAAGTGCAAATAGGATAAACTGGAAGCTCCTTTCTGAGGAAATTTGTGTTCTGCTGTGCATCTGGAATAGAGGATTAGCAAGAGGATGGTTTATCAGGGCAGGTTACAGGTGCTCCGTGGGCAAAAATCAGTGTCTGTACTCTAGGCTCTGATTGCTGTGAATGTATTTATGTGTGTGTTGATTGTATGTATACAAATGGAATTTAAATTTAAAAATAAAACCACATGCTGGCTTTACTACATTTCTCCTTATTGGCTTCCTGTTTGTTTTACTTCAGGAAATATTCCTTGTGGAAGAGTTATTGTAAAAAAAATTATATTCTTCACTTGAAACCTGGATTTGGGGCTTTAAAGTTTTGTAGGGGAGTTTTGCTGCTTTGGTTTATTTATTTTTAGTTTGTTGTTGTTGTTGTTATTGCTGGCTCTGCTGCATCTTCCAGGTCAGTGTTGGACAAATCAGTGCATTTCATTGCTCTTCAGCTCCATATACTGGCTCCTCCTGTGATTACAGCTCTAAAAGGGCCTTTAAGTGAAGCTATCCTCTCTTGCTTTGCCAGTTTGATAATGTTTGGCTGGCTGGAGCAAACAATACCTTGTTCCATTGTCAGGGATGTTTTGGGATTTCACAGATGTTCTGGCATGGTTCAGGCCCAGGTAGAGGAGCAGGGATTCCTTTAAGAAACATTAAGAGCTGCCTCTACCAAGTGTTGATTAACAGCAGCCCAAGCTCTGGTCACTGGATGCTTGTGACAAATGGGATTTAAAGAATAGGTGCATACACAGACTTCACTTCATGACACAAAGTAATTCAGGCTTCAGTGTTGTTTTTCTAAATATCTGGGCCAAGGAAAATGTTCTGTATCAGCTTTCCCTATTAGATCCATTAAATGTTGGTGTTACTGTTATCCCACAAGAAAAACTTTTCTTCTGAGAGCCAATTCCCAGTTACTTCCTGCAGCAGCAATAACCACAGCCCTGGCTGGGTGCTGGAAATCAGGGAAGAGCCCTGAGCTGGGCAGTAGCTGCTCTGTCCTCTGCTTTGATAACCATCCCTGCCTTCCTGTGGTTTCCTTTCATTTTTACATCTGCTTTCTTATTTGCAGGCTGATCAGGTGATTTCTGAATTCTGCATTAGCCCCAGAAAAGGCACTGTGGAGATGAATAGATGCCTGAAAATTGAGTATTTTGGATCTTTTAGTAAATTCAACCTCTACAAAGGAGACCATTGCTTTGGAAATAAATAAAGAAGAACATTAAAGTGGAGGGCTAGGCTAATTTATTCTCTGAACTGCTTTGTCAGCCCAGTATCCTCTGGAAACTGAGCTGTTTAGGTGAAAACTGTCAGAAATATTGTGACAATATTAGGAAGAGCACTGTAGCTATGGCCAAGTCAATGAGAAGTTTAATTTTAAATTATCCATCTGCCAGCAATTCTGATATTTTCTTTGACTTTTTTTATGTTCCAGGATGATCAACACAAAAGATTTTCATTGGATGATGATGACCTCGAAGCACGACTCAATAGTTGGAATCTTGGGGTAAAATGCACTGTGTACTTTACTTATTTATTAACTTGCAGTGGGAACTTCTCAGTAGTGTAGTTTGCTTTCTGAGCTTAGCCCCAAAACTTTGTGTGGGAATCAGTCTTTTAGAAATGGGTTGCTAAGGCTTGGAAAGGTTATTTATGAATGTATGAGAAGAAAACATTGAAATTTTAAGTAATAATAATCTTCACACATTTAATATGGTCACTCATAAATCAGGCCAAATAATGGCTGTTGGTCAAAACCAAGAGTCTTACTCTGATAGAAATTCAGACTAATTCTTGATGATTCTGTAACATTATTTTTTATTTATACTTGTATAAATGAAAGAAGAGTTTGGCTTTCTGTGTTTATTTTTTTTAACCAAAGCAGAATTTGTAAGTCATTAATACAACTCAGGTTTTTTGTGGTCAGTGTGCCTCCTTTTGAAAGTGTTAAGGAGGCTTTTCTTTGTGTTCACCTCTTCCTTTCCCTTTTAATAATTCAAATTTATTACTCTTATAAGACTTTATTCCCTTGGTTGTATTTTCTGTGGTGTTGTGGTATTAGTCCATGATAATTCTAAGAAGACAACAAAGTACTTATTTTCTCTAGGTGTATTTTAATGTATTTTTTCTATTGTGTTGTTTTGTCTTTTTTGTAATGCTTTCATTTGTACCACCAAATCTTTAACCTATTTCATTAGCACTAATATCCTTACAGCAATTTAGTTTTATTAAGATCACTTTGATTTTAAAAGGGAGGTTTCTTCTTTCTTCCTTATTTTGGCTTAATCTCACAGGTTGAAAGCTCACAGAGTTGCAGCCAAAGAGGAATGATGAGAGTGAGTTTAATGAAATAGTTTAGCCTTGTTTTTTGAAAAATAATCACATATTTTCATGTTGTCATTTTAATCAGCTGCCAAATGATCCTTATTCTTCCTACACAACAGTGTAGGAATACACTGACAATAGTCAGGCCAGAGGGATATGACAGCATTTAAAAATCTTGCCTGTTACACTCCAGGTTTTTCATGGATGGCCAAGTTCTCTTCAGTGCAATCAGAAATGATAACAGACAATATTAATGGTTTTCTGTCCTTCTTGATGTTTCTTTTGCTTTTTCCAAGCTGAGGGTGGAGATGGGTGAAAGTGTCAGCATTGTGCAGGTGCCTGAAACAAAGGTGCAATCACTTGCAGATGTTGGATATTTGGGCTGTATTTATCATTTGGATGATATGAGCAGAAAGCTGTAATACCTTGAGCTTTTTAAGCTGCTTTAAGTGGGAAAACTTGCTCATGGCCATTTTACAAATTACACCAACTGATGCTGACAAAGGATCTCTTTATATCCTGCATTTTTATATCAGTGTCAATCTGCCTGCCTGCTTATCTCTTATCTCTGTCATTTTATTTGTATTTTATTTCTTTTCCTAATTGAAATTCCAGTTTGCAATCATGTTGTGCTGATAGTGGCTGGGTATTAAACTGTGATGATCCTCTGCTGATACAGGAGCTCCCTTGGATAACAAATTGGCTACCGTGGCACATAAATCAGTTTTTCAAGTCTCCTCTCCAGGGATGGTAATTAAAGAAGTCGCTCATGAGAGACTTTGATTGCCTGATAAGACTTGTTGGGAGTTACCTGACAAAGGGGATTGGAGGTTGTAAAAGAGAGGTCTGTGAGGGGTTGTGCTGAGCAGCGTTTCCCTGCTGTGGATCACGGCCTCCAGTCGGTTCTGAAAGGGTCAGGAAGTTTTAAGTGGAGTGTCACACTTAAAGAATATGTCACTGCTAAAAATAAAAAACCCCACTAAATGATCCCTTGGAATCTGTAAGGTTTGAGTGTCAGATGTGGCTGCTGTTATTTGCAAGCATTTAAATTGCCATGGGAGCATCTTGCTGTCCTTTAATTGCTACTCCCAGCTGCAAACCGTTTGGGAAACTTAATTTACAGTGATCCCACCTGAGATACAGAAGACCCTTGACCCAAAAAATACTTCAGTAGTGGGGGAAGATAGGAAAGGAGATTCAGAATGGCTTTCACTTTGAGCTGCCTGGGCTGAAGAACAGTTGTCTTGAAAACCTTTTGAAACTTTCCTTGGGTTTTTTTGGTTATACGAGTCTTTGTACAAGGATTTTTGTCAGTAAGAATCGCTAATTTTAGGAAGCTGTGAGTATTTCAGGCAAGTTTATATGGAGAGCATGCTTTTATCCAAGGATCTGCAAATACCCAGCTAGGTGCACACATTGGTGAGACAGCCCTGGTGTCTTCCAGCTGTGAGGGGCTGCTGAGCCTTCACTGCTACAGCTTGGGATTGAAATGACCAGTTATGAATTGTTAATTTATTTTACTGTTATCTGTCAGCCTCCTGCTTCTTTAATATATTCTGAATTTCTTCTTCTTCAAAGCTTTTGTATTTTTAAGGTCACTTTCTGGATGTGTTTTCAAGTTTTATGATATACCTATATCAGTGATTGAGAATTTATTTTTAAATATTATTATTAAAAATACTGTGGAAAGTTTTGGGAAATGCTTTTATGAGTTTTCTAGTAAGCGGAGAAGTCAAATCTGGAGGGTCAGATATTTGTTCTTAATAATAACATCTTCTACAGGAGAAGTAGATCTGTTGTGTTACTTTGCTGATATTGTTACTTTTTGTGAGTAATAAAAGAATTTTCCCCTTTTGCTTGCAGCATTCCTGATTATCCCTATCAAACATTTTATGATTCAAATTCTTTAGATTCTAATCAGGCATGAGTAAATGTTTGACAAAAAAGTTGAGTTTTGATTGTGATAAATTTGCCTTTCATACATGGAATACTAATTTACACTCATTTTACATACATTATAAAATGTGTTTTTCTTAGGCTGTATTGGCTCTTATCTGAACTGCTGTGGGGACTGTCCTTTATCAGGTGTTCATGCCTTGAAGCTGCATTTGCAATGCAGAGAAGGAGAAATCCTTTTGTTTGGCTGTTTGAAGGGAAAAGCTGCAGAAACAGGAGCTGAGACAAATAAATACCAGTAATCTTTGGTCATGTTCTTACTTTGAACTATTTGTCATTTTTCAGCCATTCTGGAGTATAATAAAAGTAACCTGGGCTAGGGGAATGAGAAGAACTTTAAGGTCCTTTCCAGCCCAGACTTTTCTGTGATTCTGTGGTCTTATTTCACCAACAGCTGTCAATAAATGTCTGCATATTGCTGCAGCTCTAGTGCACTTCATAACTGAAGGAAAGATGAATATCTCTTGTTTATGTCTCAGAAATAATTAAATATTGTGAAAGATGTGTAGTGTCAGAAAAAGAACCTTGTTGGATAATGGAATGAAACTGCCTTTTTTCCTTTTTTTTTCTTCTTTAGCTGAGCTTTTTAGATTTTAGACAAACATAATTTTTTGATTAAAAAAAATTAAGTTACATAAAGAAACAGCAATGAATTAAACCCCTGCAAATTCTTACCTCACCTGTCTCTCACTCTCTCTTTCATGAAGCCTGTGAAGCACTTTCATTTGTAACCAAGTTGTAGCCAGTTTTAGGGGTGACAAAGCATCTCTTTCAAACATCCCAGGAAATTCAGCACATCATTTTAGGTAGAAAGCACACAAAGAGATTGCACCCTGGGGAAACAGCAAAGGGCATTTTAATCAGTGAGAACACGATTTTTCATTGCTGGAATTCAGCCAGGACAAGAATTAACTCTTTAGCTTTGCCCAGAAATGATGTCGGACTGACTGGACACTCAGTCTTGCCCAGAAGAACTTGTCCTGGGAAATGTGATTGCCTAGGAAAGGTTTGAGAAGACTGAGACCAAAAAAAATTCGGTGGTTGGTGGATGTGTTCCTTTCTCCCTCCTTGGAGCAAAGTGTTATAACACAGGGTTAAGTGGATGGAGTGTTGGGAATTCCTGGGAGGCTGCAGCAGCAGTGGATGCTGTGCCTGCTCTGTGTGCTTGGCTCACATCTGCCTGTGTCTTTCCAGTCTAGTTAAGCTCAACCATTTCTGCACAAGGCATTTGATTATCTTTTGTTTGGTTTCTCAGTCTGGCTGCTTACTATAAACATACCTACTGTATATGTTGTGGCCTTGGAGGGCAGCAGTGCTGGAAAAATTTTCCCACAGTGAACTCCAAGTGGTGTAGCGACTTCAAAAAATAAATTCTGCTTCCATGCTGACAAACAGTCTTCATGTGCTTTAATGTCCTTCCACTAAGGCTGCTACAGCAGCATTGAAGTGAACTTCCCTACAAATCATGATGTTAGATAAGAATGTCCTTACTCAAATTTCCTGAAGCTACTCAGCAGTTATTTCTGTAGGGAACATGCTGGCTGACTGGGTTTGGTAGATTAAAGTAAGAATTTAGGGCAAGGTTCAGTTTAGTTGTTTACCATTTCAAAGTCTTAAGTGTTCTTAACTCTTTCATGTGTGTTTTTGCCATCCTTGTTTTGAAAACAATCCCTCTTTTTCTTTGATGAAGCTTAGGGGGGAATGTGCAATGAGCCTGCAGATGCAAGTGTGGGGGTTTTATTCCCTGCATCTTAATATTTACAATATTCTGTGAGTGGACTGACACAGGCTGCAGTTGGGCACCCATCCCTGGATAAGCATCTTCCAAAGAGTGGAACAGGGCTTTGGAGGGGTAGTTTGGAATTATGACTTCAGTGTTGTCATTGTTGTGGTATTTTCTGAGCAAAAGAGCAAAGCTTTGGTGGGAGTTTCTGGACTGGACAATATTTTCAGCCTGAGGGATGGAATGTAATTGATGAGAATGAGACTTGTGGAAGTACTTAAAGCTCAAAATTGTGCTTTTTCTGCACTGTTCTTACTTTTGGGGAAAAACATTTCAACTTTTGTCAGTGCTTCATTCATTACTTGCATTGATAGATTTAAAATTGTTTAACTCATAAATATTTAGTTTTGACTACTTTAGGTGTTGTTAAAATAAATGGAAATTGCAAATACTGTAGTTACAAATTATGGTTAATTTGCCTGAAATGCAGTTTTGGAATTTTATTTTTATCTACATTTCTGCAATACTTTTTTTTTTCAATTTAAGAAAATATGTATCTTTAATGAAGTAGATTATCTCTGTTAGGTGATGGGGATTTCTTCATGGAGATCTGATCACCCAACACCTTCACAGCTCTGGTTTAGGAGAAGGAGAAGGTGACCACTGCGCTCCTCACAAATTGAAACATGATTTCTTGTCAGACTGCCTAATAGAACAGGAGAATCCAAAATCTTTTCTACAAAGACATTCAAAATACCATTTCATTTAAGAAGTGGTATTTACAAATTAGAGTTCAGTTCTAGTTCAAATAAAGATGTCTTTCATGATGACATTTATTTGGTTCATACTCTTTTAAAAGCATGTGATTTACTGCTCTTCTCATGGCAGTCCTTCAGTTTCATACATATGTATTTTGGCTTGTCTTTGACCTTTTGCTTATTATTTTTAAATTTGCATGTTTCTCATAAATACAGACTTTTTTTTTAGGGCATTCTTTATTGTGATATTCCCTCTTTAATGTGGTTTAATTTGGAGAACAAGAAGTTTTGCAGAAGAGCAGCATGAAAAGAATGAATGTTGAGGCATTAAATGTTTACAGATCAGTTTAAGTGGATATAATCCACAACAAGTAACAAAGTGGGAACATTTAACTTCAAAGCACATATGGCTGCTGTTACAAAATCAAAAAATGCAAGACTTGGGTCCTACAAAGTATTAGAGACACATTTTCCTTCTTTCCCATAAACAAGTAGGATGTACCTTAGCTTTCAGATGGTTTTGAAGTGAAGGCTGCAAACAGCTGAATGTCATGGGCAGATAAAGGATTTTAATTAATTGTAAATATTTACAACAATTTTTATATTACTTTTGGCTTTAAAAAGCCAAAGTAAAGGGTGATTCTGCATGAGAGACAGAGCTTTGGGAAATCCGGAAGCCTTTGAAATGTGGCTCTGCAGCCTTCTCTAGATTCCACCAGGTACTGGTGAAGGCTTCCACTGCTCCCACTGCTGCCAAACTGGGGAGTACCTGGAGCTTCTGGCAAACACCTTCACCCTGGGGATGATCAGGAGTATGGGCTGGATGGGGAAGTGGCCACATTGAGGTGGAAGGAGGAATATAATACAATAAAATGTAGGTAGAAAATCCTATTGCAGGTACAAATGTGGAGGACAAAGAATATCCTCTGAAATTTTTCCAGTGTGAAATTTCTGTACTGTTTAATTTCTTCTCTCTTGATTTACTTTTCCTTCCCCTCCACTCCATTGGATCTCCCGTGGTTGGTGCTCCAGGCTGATCCCATTCCTGTATTCCTCTCCTCACAGTCCTTCTGTGTCCAAAATTCCTCATTTTTGTGGCAGTGGGTGCATCCAGGATTCCTTCATTCACTGGTGGCTGATTTAACTGCCAAGTCGGGATACTTTGTGTGAAGGAAAGTTGAGTGTAACTGTTTTGGTAAACTCCCCGACAATAAATAGGTTATTGTTAAATTATTGGTTTCCTGATGCTAATGTATTAAAGTTTTGGATAACACCATTCATTGAAATTGAATGTATGTGTTAAATGTATCTGCAACAACTTCTGGGTGAAATATGACAACTCAACACCACACAGAAATCCTACATCACCTTTTGGGACAGGAAATGAATAATACTGTATCAAATTGAAATTTCAGAGGGATTAAGCCTCTTTTCCACTGATAAATTCAACACACAAATTTATTTCATACTTCAGAAAGTGCAAGCATTTGATATATTTGCCATGCCTCGTAGATCAACCTAATCCTACAACTTTTTTTTTTTTTTTTTTTTTTAATGTGTGTTGCAATCTCATTCATAGTCCAGATCTCACTGCCACATTTTACAAGATTATACCCTTGAAAGCTTTTTTTGGGCATTCTGCTTTCTCTGTGATGTGATGTGATGTTTGAGCCTCATCATGTGAGAAAATAAGAAAGATAGAGCTGTCTGATAGAGGAAGTGGGTTGGGAACAATGCTTTGTCTCCAGTTCTTAAAAATAGTGATTAAGAGAGCTGTTTTAATTATACAGGCATGTTAATGAATTATTTCCTTATGTTTTGTCTCTATAACTTACATGTGTGGCTATAGTTTCAACACACCCAACTGTAATTTTTCAAAAGCACTACATTTTAATCAGTACAATCTGTAAATGTATTGTAGCTTTATACTGATTTCAATGAGAATTTAGCCAACAAAGTTGGGAATCTTTTGCATAAGCCTATGTATGTAGCTGCCAAATATTTTTATTATTTGCATTGATGGAATTTTTACAACCACAAGAGGTGGGAGGAAAAAAGTGCAATTTTTGGTCCATTTACACTATCAGAATTGCAGAGTAAATTTCCAACCAGATGATCTCTTAGGAAGATTTCCTGTGTCTAAAAGATTTAAGGCATGTTGAAATCCCCTCTGTGGTTCTTTGAGTGATGCAGTTCCTGTGCTAAGTATGGTTTAGTTATGATGTCTTGGACTAAATCAGACATTGTTGACCTGCTGATTTTTCTCTGCCTTGTTTTTCAGTTAGAAAACCCCAGATACCTGCGAGAAAAACAGGTGCCAATGACTGTGGTAGGTATTTATATTCTCTTGATTTTTCAGAAGGGCAAACAAACCTCTTGTGTTATTTTTAATCACTGCCCAGGATTGATTGTACTTAGATTTACTGGTTTTGACTTCATTGATTGTTTTGAACTTTTTCCTCAATAGATGACACCTAAAATTGACCTTGGGCAGAGCAGCCCCTCTCGGTGCCACCTGGCACTGCTTCAAGCACAGGAGAAAGAGGTAGGATTCTTTTCCTTGGAAATTGGGCATTAACAAGGAAGTTATTGTAGCAGAAAATCTCATGGAAGAGAAACTTGCTGAAGTGACAGGGCTTGTCATTAAATACTTCATGGATTTCCCAATTATTTAGGGAGTAAAAAAGACTTTATAAACATATTTGCTGGTCCTTTGAAAGAATTTTTAGTGGGGAGTTTGAATTCTAGGAATTTTCCTAATTGCCTTTTAATAGAGGCAGTGAAACCTTTGATTTAGTGAGGACTTTTTGCTTCCTATATACCTTTCAAAATTAGCAGATTTTGACCTTATTTCTGATAGGATCTACATTATTTCTGTATTTTCTTCATTGAGCTCCAATCCTCTTTTGGTCATATGAGGTTTTATTTTACTTCTTTGTAACTTTGTGAATTCCTGAGATTGCTGTCCAAGGTTGGCTATCTAATTCTCTCACACCATGGATTTTTTCTTTGAGTATGTGTAAAAGTAAAATTTTGTGGTCATTTTCACCTTTTTCATGCTTTAAGGATGTCGACTACCTGAGATACTTTGTCACAAGCTGCTTATCTTATTTTAGACATTTCTTTTTTGAAAAGACAGTGAATTAATGGGCAGAAAAGGAAACTCAAGGTGCATTAGGAAAACGATTAATAGAACCCCAAACCCAACCAACGAATCATGAAAAAAAACTAACTAAAAACCAAACCCAGCACTCTACTCTCTTTGTCTTCAAAATTTCTAATTTCAGCCATATACTCTTGGAAAACTGACACATATGTGCATAGTTCCCTACTATCCAGAAGGACCTAAACCCACAAAATACCCCAGATATATCTGAGTTGGGGAGAAAAGGGCATCATCAGCACAGCAGGAAAATATTCTTTCATTTTCTTGCTCTCTTGTAAGGACACATGGATTGGAACTGTCCTAAAGTTACTTCCATGACAATTCAGAAAACATCTTTAGCAGAGATACAGATGAGGGTAAAATTGGTTGGCAGATGCTTCAGTTGTTAATAAAAGAATGTGTATGAAATGTTTTCTGCTACCTGGCTGCCTCATTTGATGCTCAAACAAGCAGCTGCACAATCCATGTGCCTTTCACTTTCTCTGCTCTGTTGCTGATGTTCTTCTGTAATGACAATGCTCAAACCACCAGTGCCTCAGGATGAGGCAAGGTTTCATAAGATGTGAAAATATCCCAATAAATAAATAAATTGAAAGCACAGTGTTGTCATTTAAACAATATTTTCAAATTAAATAAACAGGAATACATGCCAAGGAGCTACATAAAATACCCAGTTAATACTTTGCTAGTTCAGTGGAAAAATCCTCAGAGCCACAGAGTAAAAAATCCAGGACTTTTTGCTAATGGTGCTCGACTGTGGGCTGGTTTGAACTGGAAAGGTTACAGACAGTGTTTCACAATCACCATGTGTGTGCTATTAACGAGAAAACTTAAATGTGTTTTCATCTTATTTTGTTTGTGAAGCTCAATTAGGAATAAAGTCCTTTTCATTTATAGAATGTGAATGTATTAACAGAGAAATGGTGCTGCACAAAAGGGTCCGGGGGAACCATTAACTGTTTTCAACCTCTTTGTAGTACAAGGGGAGAACATAAAATAGGATAACTGTGGGGTTTTTTGCTTTTAACCTTTAGACCTTTGTTCATAAAGCATTCCTGCACCTGTTTAGAGTCTGTAATGCTGAACACATGGCCATGAGCAGTGATAACCACATCACAGCCCTGCGAGAACGCCGATGTCATCAGGCAGCGGCTTTTAGTCAGCTCTTCCCAAAATACTTCTGACATGGATTAAACCATCTGGGAAATGGTCATTACTGAAAAATTGTGGGTTTAAACAAGGGAGATGCAACCCAACAGGAATAAATCCATGTTCAGCAGGACAGCAAAGCATGACAGATGGGCTGATTGGCCTGTCTGGATAAAAAGGGAAAATGTCCCTTTGAACTTCACCTCTGGCCATCCTGTGTCACCCAGAGTCCCACGGAGCAAAGGAGGGGGAAAGGAAAAGTCTGATTTGTGATTTTTTAGAAAAACAGATTCAGTGCCATTGCTAAGGTATAGGTTTGGAATTCTTCTGGAATGAGAAAATAAAATCAACTATGTTAATAAAATGATTTCTTTTAACCTTTCTCAAACAGCTAGTTTATCTGATATATCACTTTGAGACATTCTGGTGTTTCTTTAAAGAAGTTCTCTTTCCTAATTTTTTATTTTGTCAGTCTTATTTATTCTTAGCATTTTTTCTCAATTTCCTTCTGTTTTATTATTTTGTAAGCAAAGATACTTATTTATCTTATCTCAACAAAGGAAGTCTAAACAAATCAGAGGGGTATTGGAAATAATTTCCACTTTTCAGTTGGAAGGTTATACCTGGAGTAAGTTTGTACTGAATTGTATACCAGCTCTTTATTTATTTTTCAGACAAACTGGCAAGCTGAATGCTTTATGCAATAAATTGTGAAGTTTCATCTGTCTGGGTTAACCGAGAACATTGAGTATTTCCAATGTTTTGTTGACTTTATCAGTCCTGTCACTCCTCTGTTTTGGTTTTTGGGAATCCAGTGATAAAGCCTTTGGACACTGGAGCCACTGGTGCTGTTCCAGCCCGTTGTGCCCTGAAGCAGCCCAGATGAAGTGGTCGTGCAGCTGGGGGCAGGAGGAGCTGTGGAAGGCAGTGGCTGGGTTTTCAGGACAGCACCTGGGGGATTGCTTCCACCAGTTTGTCTTGTGGGCTGGCCAGTGAGGAAGAGGAGAGATGAGATAGGTGCTGTAAGATAACAGAGAACATAGAGAATGGGACAAAGACTTTTTTTTTTTTCCCCCCCTGGAAATGCATCTTCATAGATCGAGCGCCAGAAGTAAGATGAAAAACGGAGAGTGTTTCATGGGTTTATGATTCAAGAAGTCTTATCTTTAGGATGCAGCCTTTTTTAAAAGCTATTTAGGACCTTCATCTTTGTAATCTTTATTTCTGTTTTTCTCCTTTTACTTTGGGAATGAGCACTCCCTTTTACTGCGTGACACCAATTTTGTTTATAAAGATCATCAAGCCATTTATATGGTTTTACTGCACCAGAAGTGTTGGGATCTAGTGATATATTTACGTGAAGATAAAATCTGCAGTGCTGATACAGTTAAGTCGTGGTCTGGCTAAAAGGGCTCTGGATTGAAGGTGTTGAAAGCAGCAGATTTACTGTGCTTCTCACTTATCTGGCAGGAGATTATAACTTGAAACAGAGCAAATTGCACGAGGGCTGTGATATGGATTTCCCCCAAGAGGGACCATACAGAGAATGTAGGGGAAAGAATGCAGGGAGGAAAGAAAGTTGTAAAACTCGGGAGGGAGAGTGAATAACACTGGCTGGTGTTAACATGGAAAAGAGAAGGGAAAGAACACTTGAAGATAAGAGTCCCTGCAATTAGGAGATGGTGATTAGTGGGCATTGTCCTGTTGGGTTTGATTTCTTCCTCTTAATTGCCCTCTTCCATAGTGAAGTATTTAAATATATGAAATTCATGCCAAATACAAGCAATAAATAAAACCAATATGGAGACAGTATCCTAAAACAAGGACTCTTGTAATTGAACCACTGTAACATTAACACTGTTGTGTCTTTAGCTGCATCATGGATCTTATATTTTTTCCTCACTGAAAAGAAATGTTTTTGTTCATATCTTTCAAGGATGGTAAAAAAATATATCAGTATTGTTCTCTTGTGTAATATATAGAATTAAAAGTGTGTGCTCATGTCTGTGTGTGTCTCTAGAGTTTAAATTGTGGTGGATGGATATATAAACATCTGTGTATGGAATCAGGAGAGCTGGATACAGCTCAAGGAACCTCCTTAGATGTGCTGGGGCTGTTTGTGCTTTTTAATAACAGGAGGAAAGTGGTTTTTATGAATGTTCTGAAAGCACATGAGTGGGCCCAAAAACTGAGTCTTACAATAATGGGAGCTTTGTGTGTTGGAATTTTTTTCATATTATCCCTCTGTTCTTCCAGTTCTTTTCCTTTTCTGTTGCCCTTCTTTTGTCATCCTGTTCACTGGGGACTGTCCTAACCATACTTCTGCTCATAAATGTCATGCTGATTTCCAAGGGTGAAGATTGTTAAGCTTTTTAATTTTGGTTTTTAATTCTTGTTAAAATGTAAGAACGTGTGTTGCTTACTGTTCAAACAAGTGTGACCCATATGAGGGGGCAAGAAAAGGCAGATATGACATAATTATCCCTTTCATCATGATTTTCACTTTTCTGCAACTCTTTTTTTCTTATGATAACTTGCTTCTGAAAACACTGTTGTATTTCCCCTTGAAAATATTCCAGGCAGTGACAGCAACTATTTTCTGGTTCATTTGAATTTTCTCCTTTTCTCCACAGCCCTCGTGTCTGTTTTGAATGCAGGGTGTGATTTATATGGAGAATCCAGTTGTAAACTGATTCTCACCACTGAGTAATCGTCCTGGGTAGGAATCTGTTCGTTCATATTTAAAGTCACAGCAATCTTGACTACTGCTAACATAATTCCTGGCTGATTAATGTCCTGCTCCCAAAAACATGTGCAAGTTGTCCGTTGTGTTCCTTGTGAGGAAGTCACATCCTGCCTTGCTTTGATAATTCTTCAGAATGTAATGTAATAACCCCCAAACCTTATTTTATTGCTAGACTGGTGTGAGACACACAGTGGATGTCAAGATGAGACATGTTTTCATAAACTGGCTGCTGATTTATAATTCCTGATACCAGTCAGGCTGCTTGTGGAGATCTAGATGTACATGTACAGTTATTTATTTATTTATTGCAATAGTTTGTGAACTATGTCTTTAATTATTGCACATATGGGCTGGAGACATTGAGAAAGATCAAAGGGGTAGGTTAGCAATTCAAACTAGTGTTTTAACCAGTAGAATGTCCAGATGGTTGCCAAGCAACTGGGAATTAATCTTTTGTTGCATGATTAATCTCTACCTCAAAGTG